AAACCAGGGAGCTTGTTGAGATCTGCGTCGGGTCAGAGGCCGCAACGGCACGACTCGGTCCAGTGCTGCGGCTGCGGCCACATCCCAGGCCGCCGCCAGATCTTCAGCCGAGTCGTGGACTAGATCCTCCGGATATGGCCCAAGCTCCGTCAGGAACCTCTCCGGGTCCATCAGGCGCCTGGGACGGAACCATCTACGCAGTTCCGTCTCCCTGCGGCGGGGGGGAGCGGTCCGGAAGTCCATCCTAAGGAGTGCATGATCTGACCATGACAAGGGCTCTATAACTATCTCCCCCATTTCCAGATCATTCTGCCACTGGCCAGAGACAAAAATTAGATCTAGTGTATGTCCTCCCGTGTGAATGGGGGCATGAACTAATTGGGTCAAGTCCAAGGTCGTCATGGAGGCCAAGAACTCCCGAGCCGCCGCCGACGTTTCGCCCGCAGATGGCAGATTGAGATCCCCCATGACTATAAGTCTGGGGGTCTCCACCGCCACCCCGGCTACTACGTCAGCCAACTCAGGCAGGGCCGTTGATACATAGCAGGGGGCCAGGTATATAATCAATAGGCCCACTTGTACCCCTTGTCCCCACTTTGTACCCCTTGTCCCCATTATGCTTTGCATTCCCCAGAATGCATCAAATTCACTTCTACTTTTGGAACCTACCTTTTTCTTTTCTTAGAGGATCATATGAGGTCTTGCAAATTAAAGTACTGGCTGAAATTAATCTTTCTAGAAGGAATGTTGGCCCACATAATCCTAGATGATAAAATTGTTTCATCTCAAAAAGAAAGACATAATCGCGGCCTTATATTATTGTGGTGTGTCATCACAGTTCTTGATGATCCTGGGTTTTGAGAGAGCTTGACCAGAGAAATAAAAGTAAACTTTTTCTTCTTATAATAGTGGCTTCTGTTGGTCAGTTTTAACATCTAGCTCCTTTAATAACTTCCTCTTTGTCTTTGTATAAAATAACTTTCTCACTGTTTAGACTTAGTCGTCTGCCATCCTTGGTTCTAGAGACATTTTTTTTATAACATTTGATCTCAAGGTTTCCAGCACCCCCAATGAGGCAGTTAAGACAGTGCTGCATACTGTATATGTTGCTGTGCTACCCTCTGCGTCGAGCCTGGCAGTCTGAATTAATAGGTCTCTTACGGGCTCACTGTTTAGCTCATCCAGAAGAGTTGAATGCTTTCTTTTTGCTATGGATTGATCCCCAGACACACACACACACACACACACACACACACACACACACACACACACAAAGTTGCCCCATTTTGTGCACTTGTGAATGCTGTAAGAGAACTCTGTTGGAACACTGGAAAAGTTTATTTGTTGATTTCTTCCTCTTTCGACCTAGTTTATTGCTTCTTGTATTAATCATTTGATTCTTAGTACATGAGCTCTTCATTAGCTTTTTTAATGGTTCAATTGGATTTTTGCCTTTCCTTGTATATAAACTAATAGGAATAATAAGTCTTTTGCCTACTGTAATTCCCTCCCTCCAAACAGCCTTTGTTACAGGTGCCTCTGGAGGTCAGAGGGTTAAAGAAAATAACTATATAAATTAAAATAGAGTCCCTGTGGTTGAAGTTTTTATCAAAATTAGGGCCTGATTGAGTTTTCATGTTTCTATTTTCCTGTCCTTTTCCCTTCTCACAGATGCTTTTACCTTACTGGGCTGTTGAATTCTACAGTATATTGATTGATTCTCTTTTGTTCACTGTCCCCTTTCTCTTCCAGGGGAATTCAAACGGCATTGCTTCTGTGGATGTTTCAGCTGGCTTTGTTGGGCTAAACGACTATGTAGAAATTCCTGCCATTTTTCTTACTGCACTTGCAACATACTCGGGCCCCCTGCTATGGGCCATTCATCTGTTGTGTTATTTGAGTTCTGAAGTGGACAGGTAAACTTTTTATATCATTTTATTTTATTTTATTTTATTCATACAGCCACCTATCTTAAACAAGGTAATCCTCTCAGTAATATTAAAAAAGCAGAATGAATAAAACTTACCGACCCCATGACAACATCGCGTATCCCAGGTGCAGTACCGCAACATCACATACAGTAGACTCTCCCTGCTTTTACATTCACTTCTGCCCTAGTGCGCAACCTGGATGAAGGAGCCAGGTCTTCACCATCTTCCAAAAGGCTAATAGGTCAAGGGCTTATAGATGGCTTATACAGTAAATAGACCCATATATTAAATCATACCATTTCTGAATGCTGAGAGTTAGCTGGTCCATGTTGCTGTGAGCTAGCCAAGTAAGAGGTGTCTTCAAAGACAGCTTGTTACATGGCTGATCTCAGCCTCGTTTTGGACGAGATAATAAGTCGCAAGAGTCATTTTGTGGTGAGTTGGGCAGCTATACAAACTTGTTCAATAAAATAAATCACTGGCTTAGGGAGAAGAATTGGCAGTAAACAGGAAGACTGCCCATTGATTTCTTTTCTTTTTTTTAAAGAATCTGTTCAGGAAAGACTCTTACAGATAAATGATTTGAGGAAATAGGAATTCGTGTAGAAGAAAATTGGTTGGCAGGGGAATATTCCTGCTTACTGAT